AGACGCTCTGCACAACGGGAGATCATCCACAGTAGTCCGCGGGACGGGAGGGGACGGGAGGGGACGCAAGTTGAACGCATCGAAGGTCGGCATTGCATTACCAAAAAAAGAAAACATACAACTCCACTCCATGGACTGAACTAACCTAAAATTGATTGACAGACACAACAAGACCGGCAGTCAGGTCGTGACTGTCAGCCACGGCGACCGCCTTTTCAGCTGCCGGGTGCCCAATATTGAACGTCATTCCTTGGCTTCTAGTCCGTTTATATCATGGTTGCTTCTCCGGCATTGCTTTTTCATGGAGATTGCCCATCAGGGAATGGGCCCTAGTCAAGGCCTCTGTCGGAGATTGGTTCTTTCGCTCCTGCTATCACTTCTGGATGCTGCATGCATTACGCATCTTGAAGGTCCCGTTCTCTCGTTCGTTCATAACAAACTTGAACGTAGGGTTTGATAGCGACTATCTACCCAAGTAGATCGGATGCTGTATATAAGGCCTAGACCCGCGTATAGTCAGTGAGGTCGATAGATGTTAGCCTAGTCTGCGTCGAGTTAAACTTCACTCCCAGAGACAATTCACCCATTTTTCAACGCTCCATGTCAGAAGCTTGTGCCGCTGATACTCTGAATGGCTTGACCTGGGCAACAAGCGATATACCTCTAGCAAGGGTGACGGAAGGCAACGCTCTCGAGCCACTGCAGGTTGAAATTACGATATGGGCGAAGACACGTTATGTTCCTCGACACCGGCGTCGACCTCGGCCCCGCCCCTTACGCAATCCCCTACCGAGTCAACAGCTCTGTTACCGAAACCGGTGTACGTTGAAGATGACGATGAAGCCGATCCTAGTCATCGTCTGTGGCTCGCTGAGATATGGAGGTTAGCGAAGGCGGCAATACCTGTGATATTGGCATATACTCTGCAAAGCAGCTTGCAGACAGTATCTGTCCTGATAGTTGGCCGACTCTCACCGGAAGCATTGGCCACCGCCGCCTTCTCATACATGTTTGCCATGTCGACAGCCTGGCTTATTGCGTTAGGTGGCACCACGGCTCTCGATACGCTTGCATCCAGTTCCTTTACTGGCTCACAGGACCCGCATGACTTGGGGATTCTTTTGCAACGGGGGATATTCGTGCTTAGCTCCCTGTACGGAATAGTTGCCATAATATGGTGCTTTTCAGAGCCACTGTTTCGAGCGCTTGGCCAGGAAGAGTTCATTTGTGTGCAGAGCTCTAGGTTCCTCCAGATACTTATCCCAGGCGGCCTAGGATATGTTTGGTTTGAGGCGATGAAGAAGTATCTTCAGGCACAGCAGATTTACCGGCCCGGGACGTATGTTTTGCTCATCACCTCCCCGCTCAACGCCTTATTGAACTGGCTGTTCATTTACAAGTTCGAGATCGGTTTGTACGGAGCACCGATTGCTACCGGCATCAGTTATTGGGCGTCTTTCCTCCTGCTTCTGGCCTACGCAGCCTTTGTCCAAGGCCATGAGTGTTGGGGTGGCTTTCAACCCAGACGTGCCATGTCCCACATATGGCCATTTATTCGCCTGTCGCTTCTGGGTATCGTCCATGTGGGGAGTGAGTGGTGGGCGTTCGAGATTGTGGCCTTGGCGGCCGGGCGGCTCGGTACGATACCGCTTGCCGCACAGTCTGTCATCATGACGGCAGACCAGATAATCAACACAATCCCTTTCGGATTGGGTGTCGCCGCTTCTTCTCGGATTGGAAACCTCCTGGGTGCCCAGAAGCCCAGGGATGCTGCTCGTGCAGCACATTGTGCGGCAATTCTCTCCGTTATTCTAGGGTCCATCATCTTGGCGGTGCTTATGGGTACCAAGAACGTGTTTGCCAAGATCTTCAACAACGACGAGCGCGTAGTCAGGCTGGTGGGAGAAGTCATGCCTTTTGTCGCCCTTTTCCAGATTGCGGATGGCCTGAACGGTAGCTGTGGCGGTGTTCTCAGAGGCATGGGAAGACAATGGGTTGGTGCCCTCGTCAATCTTATCAGTTACTACGGCGGCGCCCTCCCCATGGGCATATATCTTGCCTTCCATGGATGGGGCCTGGGCGGTCTATGGTTCGGTAACTGCGTGGCTCTATACATGGTAGGGGTCCTTGAATGGATCATCGTGGGCTTGAGCAACTGGGAGAAAGAGACCAAGAGAGCACTGGACAGGCTTCAGGCCGGCGGCATTGGAATGTCTGAAGCCGTCAGCCCCGAGAATGAACGCCTTGGTGTGTAGTCGCTAGGCATTTTTTGACAAAAGGGTTTGTTGCAGGTACCTACCTTAGCTCATCTAGCTAGATGCGATGCCGCCTTCCTCAAGACACAGATATAGGTGACACGATTGGCTAGAGACGAAACATGGGACTAATCCTCCGTATTGTACTGTCTCCGCAAGCGAGTAATACTGTAAGGGTACTGGCCAAGCTCTGATCTCTTTTTGTATACATTGTAACTTGAAACTGGCGCGCGGCTCGAGCTGCACACACTTAAAACAACTTAAAACACCATCCGTAGTACTCGGCGAGCAATGCTCATCACTTGGTTTGTGTGGACCATTTGGGATTCGCGGTTGCTAGAGGGCAGAAACAAACTCCCAGCCAACCAATGATGAAGGTGGCTGTTGCTATGGCACGCATTAGCGGTAGATAGTGGGTCCTACCTAAGGCGCTCCACTTTCTCAGTAGTAAGAACCAAGGGTCCTAAATCCCATGTACCTTACTTCCTATCTCACCAAAATAAAACAACTCAAGCAATTCAACGAGTGCATTCTCCTAGGCAATGAAGATAAATCCAAATAAAACGAATAACATCAATAGAGAGTATAAACAAGAATGGGGTCTTCTGAAAGCACATATGAATCAATTGTATCAAAAGGTCGAGGAAATGGATTGCGGCTTTAGGCATCGCTACCTTCCGGTAATAGCACCACGGACATTCCTACATTTTATAGATAGGTACCAAGACTAGATGGTCAGTATGACCTCATTTGTCATGTACCTTCCTAAGTTACATATAAGTACTGGCGGTTGAAGGAAACTCGGGCCAGCCTATTGACCATCAAACAAAGACGGGCACTGAAGACCGTTAGAGGATCTAACAGTCGAAGCCTAGGCTCTGAAAACGTAATTCTTGGCTCTACCCATCGCATTGCCGGCGTCATCATAGAGTAAGACAATAGGGACTACACAACAGAGCCCCCCGCGTTCTCGATCCTACATATATGCGCATTTGCACCTACTGGCTGCATAAGGTTTCCTACCGTTACTCTTGTCCTTTTTTGAACGTAAAAAGCCAACGCTCCAACTAATTTAGTATCCAAATAAACGAGAAATACATTTCCCTCTCCGCAACCATCCGCCAACTCCTCTGCTTCCACTTCTGTGCCTTTCGACAACATCGATCTCCTCACGTCCATCGGGCTCTTAGTGCAATCCAAGAGTAACAACACGACTTCCACGTCCGAATAATAATTATCGGCGCCTTTACTACACCGAATCAATACGAAGACCTGGGTTTTCCGGACGATCCATCATGGGTCTAGTTAGCACAGTCCTGCGTGTATTACAATTCTTGTTTACCCTCATTGCTACCGGTCTGATCGGAAATGTCCGCGCAACTACCATAAGCGCCGCCGGGACTTCCACAGCTGCCATCAACTTCGCCATCTTTGTCCTTGCTCTGTCATGGCTCGCGCTCCTGTATGGTCTCGTCATACAGTTCGTATCCGCCATAGCGATTCCTGTCGTGTCGCTGGTTCTGGATAGCTTGGCTACCCTGTTCACTTTCATTGCCGCGGTTATCCTGTCTGCGAAGCTGACTTCTGTAAACTGCGGAAACTACGTGAGTACTCTTTTTGCGACTTGTCGCGTCCAAATCACTCGCGTTTTATCAGCGCTAACCACATATATCCATTTCACAGGGTTCGAAACATTCCGGGTGGATCGCCTACGGTTCCGGCGATACCGAGAAACGCTGTCGCGAGATCCAAGCCGGCCTCGTCTTCATGTGGTTCCTCTTTGCAACATTCGCTGCCACCCTTTTCTTTACATACAGAGAGTTCCGACGCGGTGGCGGATCTGTCCGCGGTCCTAATATGTCACAGATCGGCGTGTAGGGCAATGACGATCTCGTTGATAACGCGAACGCGAACATTAGTGTCCATTATGACCAATCCACACCAGTACGCGGCTGGAACGCTTGAGGTTATTGTGTCTAGGGTAGTAACGAAGGGCGTTGCGCAAAGCTGGAGTTTGTTCCCCTAACTTCAATGCTACGGGCAGTATAATAATGTGTAGGATAAGGGATCGTTGCACGGTACTGGCGTTTATTATATTGTCAGGGGCTGTACAAGGGAAAATAAGCACTGTCTGGATCAGATAAGCAATAATACCATAAAAGTAATGATTCCAGGAAGATGGGTTCATAGGATCGAAGCCGGGAAGCCGGGATTTCTAGCCAGAACGAGAACTGGGAGTTATCAGCTTGTTTCTTCTGGCTCGGCCGCGATACTGATCGGCAACGATGTACTGTCCAAGAAATATACACATAATTAATTACGGATTATGTTTTTCAATGCCTCGAGGTTCGGTGCCCACTCCAGACTAACATTATGTCGCACTTTGTACTCGTTCATCCTGCGCGTGGCTTCGGTCATTTATGATAGTCTTCGCAAGTTTGCAAGTGGCAGGTACTGTACGCAGGACCTGTGGAATAGTGTAATCCTCTACGGCGTTCAGGGCTTCAAGAGGCTCGACTACACATGAGAGAAGCAGCTCATAATCAAATAAATGATCAGACGGACTGCTTTATAGATACTCGGCTGTATGACTATTTAATAGCGTTATATGTTGGCCGATAAGTAAATAGTATTTCCTGTCCAGCAAAACGCATTTGTTAGGTTAGGTATTTCTGGCATACAATGGAGGCCGGTGGTATCAATATAGGATGACATATGTGACGGACTTTTCAACAAACAGATTGAGTTAGATTGGCCGAGTGGTTAAGGCGGTAGATTTAAGAAGGCCTCGAGCCATCTAAATACTCTACTGACGAAAGTCTCGCGTGTTCGAACCGCGCATCTAACACAAACTTCAAACCTTTCTTTTTGCAATTTTTTCCCCTCTTCCCCACTGCGATTCCCTCTTCTGCAAAGCTAACAGAATGGTAAAAACTTTTATGTTCGTCTTTTCTGTCAATGCATATGAGCACGATCTTCTAACTAATTACTTCTTATTACCTACTATTTGTGTTGGTAATTGGCACCTTTTTATACTAGTAAGGGCAGGTACGACTTGCTTTTGTGTACTCTACCTCGATTGTTAAAAGGTTTATTGCGGTACGTTCTAGCACGTCATCATATCACAAATACCTCCTTCCTACCTCAACCCCGTGAAACACGCCAAACTCGCCCCTTCTTTGCATACCCTTTTCTGTATTTCTGGCTTTAATTTCCTGGCCATAAGTCCATCAAAAAGGGCTGGTCTAAGCGAAACTAACATGTTCCATAATCATCTTGGCGCATAAAGGTAAAAGTGTAGGAGGTATGTGACCCATTTGATGTGAATCACTCTAGGTTAGCCTAGTGTGCGCGGGATGCAGCTTTCCTGCTCTCCTTAATCAAGTCTGCCGCTCTCTCCGCTACGGCATATACAGTTGTCTGGATATTTCCGAGTGGTTCTAGGGGGATCATACTGGCGTCGACGATGCGGATATTAGACGTGCCGTGCACGATCAGATCCTCACCAACGACACCGCCCAGTCCTCTCGGCAACATGCGGCACGTTCCAGCGATGTGGAAGCATGAGATGGTGCATGAGCGCACCACCTCCTTGGCCGCCTCGAGGTCACCGCCTGTATCGCGCGGCACACGCTCGAGGGTCTGGTCGATCATGTCACTATAAGGCGGCGTGTCGGCAATCTTTTCAACAAAGCCGACGGTGCGTGCAAGGATCTCGAGGTCCAGAGGGTGCGAGCAGTAGTTCGGATCCCAGGTTGGCGGGGCAGACACATCTGCCGAGGAGATGTGGACTGAGCCCCGCGAGAAAGGGTGGTTCAGCAGTGCCAGGATGCCCATGCAGTCGTAGGATAAGGTGGAGGTGAACATATCCGTCAGCGTGTCCGGGTGGGGGGTGACAGATAGAGAACCCGGGAAGCAGAGGTATTGGATGGCCGGCTCTTGCTCCGCCTCGAGCAGGTCTCGGATCAGCTTGAATTCCCTCTTCTGTGTCGGGCTCGGGCTCGGCCCGCTATTGAGGTGCTTGTCGAAGAGCGCCTTGCGGTCGGCTGGCGACATAACGCCATTCCTGTCCGCTAGCGGCACATAAGCTACACTGGTCCCCATCCCGGCTAATGGTCCTTGATTCGACGTCGCATACTGCTCGAATGCGCTCTGGAACTTGGCAGCGTCTCGGAGTCTGTCGGCGGATGGGTACTCCTTCTTGATCGGGAACCTCTGCGAGATCATTAAATGATCTTGTAAATGCTCACCGACGTTGGGATTGTCGATCAAGACGTCGATACCGAGTTTCTCAAGTAAGACGCGGTCTCCAATCCCGGATAACTCTAGAAGTTGTGGTGTCCTGACAGTCCCCGCCGCGAGGATGACCTCCCTGTCGGCTATATAAGTGGTGGTCTGTCCGTCTTTATCCTTTATTATTACACCGGTGCCGACTACCTGGCCATCGCGTACCTCGGTGGTAACTTTCTGAACAGTCGTCTCTAACAACACCTGGAGGTTTGGTCGGCCTGCAACCTCACTTGTGTAATACGCAGTAACTGCCGAACTCCGGACGTTCGTCTCGGTCTCGATGGTTGACGAATTTTGGAATGCGCCGACGGCTCTACCGGTGCGAGGATCCGTCTTCATCTCTAGGCCGAGCTTGGCGAAAGTCTCAAACCACTTCTCATTCACCACCGAATACTGGTCATCGAATGAGAGCTGGATCGGCCCGTCGCCCTTCATATCGTCTTGGTAATAAGCCATGCCGCCCAATGTCTTGCGCATGGATTCGCTAGGCGGGTGCGACGTGGCAAATTTCCGAAAGTAAGGGGCAAGGTGGTCAAAGGACCAACCTTTGTTACCCATCTGTCCCCATGCGTCGAGATTCGTCCGCGAGGGAAACATGGCCATCATGAAGTTGGTCAGCGAGCTGCCCCCTAAAACTTTGCCGGTATCTTGCCGAAGGTGGCGGCCGTTTAACTCTGCCTGATACTCGACGCGTTAGCAGAGATTCCCTGTTCCTCACCGCAACTTCTTCCTCTTCAGTGCTAGGATGGGCGTGTCGTACTTGTGGTGTAGAGTGAAATGGCCAGACGAAGCGATCATCGGCATAGGCTCCAGCCACAAGCCCGGGAGTCTGGAGGGCCGGGTCGTTTCTCTTATCCCCTCCGGCTTCAATGACCAGGACCCTCACATCGACATCTTCAGTGAGACGGTGGGCAACAACCAGTCCCGACGTACCACCACCTACTACGATGTAGTCGAAAGATTCACTCATTTTGATTCTAAAGCGGAAGTGTCTGGGGTCGAAGCTGCTTCTAAAGGTAACAGGGAATGAGAGGATGAAGAGTCAATTACTCAACTAACCTACTTATATATAACTATGTCGCTAGGTAAACTCCCAACAAGGTCCTCTTTATACTTATGCGCCGTACACTTGCAGTCTATTTGGTGCAAGCGCGGCAGTATCTAGGTCGCGTTTTTGATGATTAGTGGATAGAGGGTGAGAGCCACTTATAGCTTACTGCACACCGCATATACATTCCGAAGTCTATAGAGAATCGGCCCTCACCAACCATTTCTGCGTATACATCTAGAGTGAGTTTGTTTTGTATGAGTAATTGTTCAAAAGATACCCAGTCTTATGCCTAAGAAGCTTACGCGCGTAGCGGCAATCTTCCGGCAAAATGAGGAGTCATCTCGAATACCAGCTGCAAAAATGTACTCCCCCTGCCGAACTTGCTTACAGAATCCGGTTTTAGCCAGAATCTGTTTCGCAACATGCCTATAGCAAATAGGTATTTTGGGCAGATCATGAGAAGTTTCGGAAGGACGATAGGGACTTTGCTGCTGAATTGGGATGGTTGCTGGAAAACATCTTACATGCATACGGCGTGTTGTCTATCCTAGCAGGTAATTATTCCAAATTCCGTAAGTATCGTGCATGCTTGTACCGCAATCTATGAGCTAAAGTCATAGTCTTATATAATATTTTAATCCCAGACCGGAATGACAAGTAAAGATTCATAACCAACATATAAAGGAAAATCGTGGCCTCGCAGGATGTCAGATTGATCCCTTCTTAGGATTGTGTTAGGTATTAGGTTAAGAAGAGTGAAATACCTCTTACGTTACCTCTTTCATAAGGTCTCTACCTACGGTGACGACGCCTAGACACGTGCTCGACACGTGCACACATTAGCTTTGGTAAGGACGCCTGCTAGAGGGGTACGAGAGGTTCTTCTATTACCGCATCCCATGTGGCATTCGAATTGAAGCGGGTGCTTAAGAAACCTTGTTTAGGCGTAAGTCGTCGCCTACATGTATGTACTGAGTATATATATATACGTTTAAGTACCTTACCCCAGCACAAACAATCTAGAGGACTCCCTAGGTTAGGTAACTACCATAACACTCGTCACCCGTCTCTAGACATTATCATACGTTTTGTAGGTTATTTTAGAGTATTACGTACTATTTATAGGGCGGGCCGTTTGGTTGCCCGTTACCCCGACGGATTTAAAAGTTCAAGGTACGTAGCTCGGTGTTAGCAAAACGTGGATCATCCGCTCTCGGCAGTCGGAGATCAATCAAGCTCCCGCCCTTCTAGAACTAGCCTAACCTTAGGTAATCACCTCACCCCACATTTCAGTGACCCAAGGTTAAACAAGCTAAACTGTACGTGTATATGACAGCTACAAGTACGGTTTTAAGGAAATCTGCGCTAAACCTAGCAATTGTCTTAAATTTTACTCGGAGCTTATTTTATACCTACCTGCACGTTATCGTCTGGCAGTGACCATATTGTCGCGTCACTCTCTATCCGCTTCTCTTCCACCATAACTCAACCTCTTCAACAATTTTCTGTTTCTGCTCCAGCCCGAACAGGCCAAGATAGATAGCTTGACTCGGAAGCTTCCCTGTAATCCCACGCGAGCATACATCCGGTGCCGCCGACAACCCTACCGAACCTATTCCCCAGCGCCGACGCAGCTTGCATAGTCCTCCCTACCCATCCGATCCTTCCGTGGCCCAGAAAACCTCATTTCAGCCAAAGGGGAGAGAGAGAGAGAGAGATAGAGAGGAAATATTACAAATAAAAGACACAATGATACGAACCCACTTGCGAACCTTCCGGCCGTTCCTACAATCTGCCGTTCGTCCCATCCAGAATGCGCCCGGCTTCGAGATATGGCAGTCGATATCCCGACCGGGACTGATAAGAAGGCTGGGCCAAAGAACAAGTACCAAGCCAAATAATAATGCTGCCTTCCGATCCTCGCCGGGACGGTCATTCCATAATACCTCGCGGTTACGACAATCCGCCGAGCAGACGAAGACGAAGAAGCCGGAACAGGAAAGTCTGGGCTTCTCTGCGCGAATGAAGAAATTGTCGAGGGAATACGGCTGGTCTGCTGTCGGCGTATATTTCGCTCTGAGTGTCCTGGATTTCCCCTTTTGCTTCCTGCTTGTTCGGGTGGTTGGGACAGATAGGATAGGTGAGAAATACACACACACACCCACAAACACACACTACTACAACCGAACACGTTGCTGACTGAGTGGCGGATATAAAAGGCGCATTCGAGGAATTCGTCGTCTCGAATGCTAAAAAGGTCATACCGCAATCCGTCCGGGACAAGTACAATCACTACAGAAACAGAGGCGCAGGCGCAGGCGCAGGCGCAGGCGCTGAAGATCATGATGAACAACAAACTGCACCTGTACCTGCTGGATGGGGCGTCGAAGAAGCAGAGATAAGAAATAAGTCGGAAGCTAGTAAGTAGTTTTTTCATGAACGAGATGAACCAACCCCCCCCTCCCCAAGAATTCTCTGACTAACCCCATCCCATCTTTAGGTCTCGG